GGAAAAAGCAATGGGTGAGGTCTCTGTTTCCTGTTCCAGCGGCTGAGTGGAGCAAACAGCAATCTCTACGGGTTTTAAATGCAAGTCCGTGATTGGGACTAATTTTGGTCTCTGTCGGGGTACACTTTTTGGTACAACTTTCTCCGAATTGAATTCCGTTTGCACCATTGCGATCAGACAGTCGAACTCTACTCAACGGAATAATTTTTATATTTATTTGTAATATTTTTTCCCTGACATCATATTTTTGGGTGGTTGACTTTGACATAGTCAAAATTCATTTAATTGACCTTTATTCAATAAGATTCTTATGTTTGATTCATATTATTTATTTCCATGATTTATTATTTATTTATTTCAATAAATCATTTCAAAGTTGACATTGGAAAAAATTTCTTTATTTATTCTTAATTTGGGTCTGTACTTCCCTAATCAAGATCACACAATAAGTATACATGTTGGATTTATCTCTATTACGTTTATTGGATATGAATATATATTTTATTTCAGCCCAAAGCCCAACAACAATTTATTTTAATCAAAACATATTTGATTAATTTGAGTAATTATCCATTAATAATTCTAGGGTATGTTTTGGAGCGTTACATTTCTTCCCCCCTTAAAGGAATTTCATACTCGGAATTCTTCTAAGGCTCAACGTTCAACACTTCGTTATGATCATACTTAATCATGACCGTGACATGTTTATTTGGTTAAACCATAATTACATTATTATCCATACAGATACGTATTCTCAAACTGTCGATATTATCAGACTTGTTCTTTTTTCAAGAGATTAATAATTTTTTATTAAACCAGGCATTCAGTGATCCTTCAATGTCAACGACTAAGGTTCCTTCGTGGTGTATAGGGTTGTATACTTGACATGCTTGCACAAAACTTCGTTCATTCACTATTTCCAATTGTGCAACGTTGATTAATGATATTCTTTCTTTGGTTGAGAGTTCTTCAGAAGCCTTTGTAGTTTTGAATCATCACATTCACGGTAGGTATAGTTGGGGAATTTGGAGTTTGTTTCAATTCATAAATCATAACGTGATCTTAAAAGTTATCCAAAACATCTTCACTTCATTCACATAGTTCAGCAATGACTCGTAAATAACATCAAATAGCTTTTATCGGTTCAGAATACGGGATTTGTCATCATTTATGAGGAATTATTGTCGTTTGATTGTACAGTAGCTTATTATCATTGATTTACATCGAAACATTTCTTCATTCACTTCATGGTAGCTCTTATTACCGTTAATGAGTCTTTGTATTCATAGGTGATGACGTTCGAGTAGCGTCTCATGTATGTCTTGTTGCATTCAAATTTCTTTCATTAATTTGGAAACATATCAAGATGATAGCGACATGTTCTATTGTAACATTATGGTTGATCTCGTTTCGAGTGAAGAAGAGAATATCTTCAGTGCGTGATTCAATTCACGAATTCGTAGAATAAGGAATCTTACGAGTTCTTACACCAACATGGCATATAGGTTCGGGGTTTCTGCTTGAATGATTCAGCTTGATTTTTGTGACGTCATTTCTTCTCTGGTTGTCGCACATACATTTCTTTGCTAGGGTTATAACGGAGTTTGTTTGGTCAATAAGATCATCGATAATAATCCTCAGAGATAAAGTAATCGCATCAATTGTTTTGTGGTTTACAAAGAGAAGTTTAACATAATGTTCAAGTCAGGGTAGTTTTATTATTGTGATCGAGTCACGAATTCCACAGGGCATAGTTTTCATAGATCGGTATCATAAAGCATCTTTTCGTTTAATGAAGAATCGTGGTTTTAGTATTTTGATACAAAGAATGTAATTCAATCTTTTCAAGATTGATCAAGTGACATGTTTCAAGGGTGTAGTTAACACAACAAGTTTGAATAATTCAAGGATATGAGTCACAAGATACAAAGATAGCGTTTGCGAATTATCGTTACTAATCGTAGGTTTTCTTTCTTCAATGTTTCACTCATTGGAAGTTACTCAAGGAGTCATTGTCTTAGGAAATAGCCGTTTTGACTTTTCGTCTCGGATTTGATCGTATTTAAGGACAACGAATCTAACTATTCATGAGTCTCTAGATATCATATCCTCAACAGAATACAATATTGACGAGTACACTTTCATCTATAGATAATTGAAGCGAATCCACTTTTCTGTATGTATTTTGGCTGGTGATAATTACCTTTCCGTCAATGGTCAGGTTTCAGAGTATATATATCATGATTATGGCAAGAGCATCTCACATTCTCACATTATGGAAGGAACTTCTCGAACACTTTCTTACACCATAAAATTCGTTGGTCTACTTGGCAATCATTCTCTTGGTAGAAATCCAAAGTTTATGGCTACTGCGGTAGATTTATGAAGGGAATTGATAAGGCGAAAGATTAAACTTGCCTGTGGAGGAGGTAGTGTTGGCCTTCAGGGAGCTGTGGCTTCAACAGTCTTTACTAATGGTGGTCTCGCGTTAGAGGTTTCATTCTTGGGTACATAGCAACACGACGAGTCTATGGACCTACGTATGATGTAGAGCATACAGTTTCCAGTAACTATTACAAATATTTTGAGATGAATCATGTCGTGGAAGCTTTCATCATTCTTCCTAGAGGAGTTGACACTATGGAAGGTTTGTTCACCTTGATCATGTGGGCTTCTGAAGGGTTACACAATAGACCCATTGGTCTCTTAAACATTGATGGTTATTTCAATAACCTTGTCAAATTCTTAGACGATGCTGTGAGCCAGAACTTCATGACTTCCAGTCAGAGGAAATTTTTCTTTTCTTCTTTCTTTGTTGGTGAGCTTTTACGACATGAACTAATTACATTACTTACTCATTCCCTTATAAAATGGATTACCATCTTTTTTTAAAATTACAAAATCTCATGTCTTAAATTTATTATAGTTAGAAATTGCACAAAAGTTCTACATATAAAATATGGGATGAATAAAGTGACCCAACTATTTTGTTATTAACAAAATTAAAGATAATAAAATATTTGAAAAACAAGGTGAAGCATCCGTTGAAAAAATTAGGTATGAGAGTTGAATGTGTAGGGGAATTGAGAAATGGGTTGAATGGTGGCGTAAGAAAATTTTAGGTTTTTGAAATTTATTTTATTTAAAGATTGGTATAGAAATAATTTTTTTACATATTTAAAAGAAATATATCAAAAAATTTACAAAATAAGAGGCTACAAGAATAATAGTTTATTTTATCAAAAACCAATGAAAGTGCACAAAAAATTAAAATTTCCGTAATTTTTGAATAGTGAAGTCTGATACTCCCTCTGTCCCCCATAGATCTTCTCATTAGCCCTTTTTATTTGTCCACCATAGATCTTCTCATTACCTTTTTTAACACTTAAAATACCACAACTACCCCCACTTACTTTATTTATTACATCTCACCTACCTCATTTAATACACTCCACCCATTTTCATTAAGGGTATTATGGTAAACTTTCACTTAATTTCACCTAATTTCACCCAATTTTTACTAAATTGTATTCAATTGAAGCGTAAAACTATTTGAATTTATATTTTATCTTTGGATTTATAAACATAAAGATATTAGTAGATGTGATAAAAATTTGATATATCAAAACTAAATTTTAAAATATATTTAATTATATTACTTTTATATCATAATTAAGTTTATATTTTTTCATAATTTCTAGTCCAAATTTGTACGTAAAATATGACTAAAAAGTCAAAAATGAACGACAATTTAGTAGGGGTGATCAATCGGATCGATCCGATTCGATAAGAAAATTCAGATATCCAAAAATTTCAGATAAGGTAAAACTCATTCCATATCCGATCCAAAAATATTCAGATATCCGAAATTTGGATATCTGAATTTTCGAATCGGATCACTAGATTATCTAAAAAGTTAACTTTTTAGCCAAAATTTACAAAAAAAGGTAAAATAGAAACATCAACCCATAATATTAAATTCAATATAGATTATTAGATTTGCTAAAAGCAAAATTTCATCACTAGTTAATGGCCTAATAAAAAATGATATCAAATTCAATCAGAAAGTAACTTTGGTAATTCGGCTTAAACAAACAAAAAAAGCACTACCAAAATCCAAAACTATAATATATCTGAACCGAACTAGATACAAAATCGAAATATATCCGATCACAATTGTATACAAACCAAATTCTATCCAAACCGATTTATATCTGAACAGTATCTGAATTGACCCGAAACTGAAAATGTATAGAATCAAATCGAATCCGAACCAAAATTAAAATGCTCCGAACAGAACCGATTATAGCATATATCCGAAAAATATTCGAACCTAAAAATCCAATTCCGAACCGATCCAGTTGACCCAATTGCCAGCTCTAAGTAGCTTGAAAAAATGGATTGCTAAAACACTTTTGGCAGTGTAAAAAACAATATACAATACCAAAATCTACAATACCCATTGGAGATGTTAATTTTATATTGTTTTTCTCTAATTTTATTATGGTGATTTTTTAATGATTAACCATATTTATAAACAAATTTTGTCAAAAAATCAATGTATAATAAAAATACATATTAGATAACTGATTAAATAAAAATTAATAGAATAAAAAATAGTGAAATTCTAATGTGGCAAAATCTTTAAAAGTCTGAGGATTAAGATAACTTTTTTGAAAGTCTGCAGAAGAATCTGAAATACTAAACTGTGGATATGTTCGAGTTTGAAGGAGTATTATGATTCCAAACATTAATTTGACCACTTTTCCAATGTGAAGTATGAGGATACGCTGAATATATATATATATATATATATATATATATATATATATATATATATATATATATATATATATATATATATATATATATATATATATACTCCGTATATATCTGTGTGTGTGTCTATATATATATATATATCATTTTATTGAATTGCTTGATTTTTTTTCTATCTGCATTACCACACAATATTTATCTGGAAGTGAAATTTGATCTATACGAGACCCTTTTTTTCATTTGGCATAGAGCCCTAATATATATGTGTTAGTTAGGGAAAACACTACAACTTGTCAAAGACCAAGTTTGTGAAAAGCTGACCCATCCGTCCATCTACTAAAACCATACACCATCAATACTAAGCTAATCAAACGACAAAGGCACTTACCATTTTGGCTGCAGCAAGGCCTTGGCAACTACTCCGAGTCTTCATCTTGCGGCCCCCGGGTCTTCCTCGTGTTTTTTTCTTCACATGAAACTGAAGAAGTTGATCACCACCACTTCCGGCGACAAGCTCAAACCTACAAACATACCCCTTGGCTAGCCTGTTGACTGCATAAAAATCCGCCCATTCCCCATGCATTAAAAACTCGCCATGTTCCTTATGTATTTCGATCCGCCATGTCCTTCCCGTCTCATCCTTTAGGGGTATATATCTCTTTGTTGCAATCCCCGTTTTTTCCACGAAGCGCTTTGGCATTATCTGGGTGGTCAAGAAAAGAGAAAAAGACGATTCAAACATATTGTGGAGATTAGAATTAAAACAAAGGAGTCCAAATATATTTTGACATTATGCATTGGCAAGTGTGATGTGACATTATACATTGTCATGTTTGTGATTATGCATTGACATGTATGACAATATGCATTAACATGTTTTGTTTGACATTATACAGTTGCATGTCTAGCTAACATTATATATTGACATATTTATCATTATTCATTTTGTGTGTGGTATTATATGTTGTCATGTTTGACATTATATTATACTTTTGTTTGATACTATATATATTCAGCAGCGCCAATGGTAGGCCATCGTGGTCACGATGAGCCAATGACGGTTGTATGTAGTGCCAGATCATAGATGTGGGGGCGGGTCATCGCAAGGTGGCAGCGGCAGCGACAGATCGGGGTGGTAGCTTATTTAGGGATTGCAATTACTTTTTTATATTTTAATTTCTCAATGAATTTAATTTTATGTTAAGAAAATAAATATATGTCCTATACTGATTGGGAATTAAATTTTCTGCTCCTGTTTCGTTCTACAAAGTACTCCGTATGTTTTAGTCATATTCCGATCTTTTTTTCTTTTATATTGTCCAAAATCTAAATAACATCGATAAAAACAAAACCAAGAGGGCCAGTGTGTACCATTTTAACCATTTCTTCACCATGGTAGGCAGGAAGGATGACGGTGAAGCTTAGGTTGGTAGTGTGGACCAGGGAAGGGCCATCCGACGACGTTTCAAATTCATCTTCGGTCTTGATTTCTTCCTTCACATTCACATCAACATCAATTTTGGTTGATCTTTCATCCAATTCACCTGTTGATCCAATCCATGGTTTAGCTCAGAATAAATCAATGTAAAAAAATTGGTTCAACTTAAATTTTGAAGGGTTGCATGGTAGGTAGGTTTGATAAAAATGATTAATAAGGTCTTTCTTTCGAGTTTCGGCCTTCATCTTCTGTTTATCTGTTATATTATTGATATGAATTGAACAATTAAACACTCAGTCCCCCGGCCCGCAAACTTTGATCCATTAATAAAAATTACATTAAGAATAACCTACTTTATTCGTTCAGGTCTAAGTGATCGTTACGACTTTTACAATATACGGAGTATCAAATTTTAAGAAAGAGCTTTTAGAACTTAAAGTTTTAACTTTCAATTTTTTCCAGTTTCTACAAGTTTTTTCTAATTTTTCTGATCTCTTATTCTCTTCCAATATTTTTTTTGTTTCTTCTAGTTTTTTCAACTATTACTAATTTCTTCAATCTTTTTCTACTCTCCATACAACGACTCTAAAAATGATGTGCTTTTCATATATTAATATTACTATTATTATTGTTCTTATTATTATTATTATTATTATTGTTATTATTGTTATTATTAAATTGTTGTTTTTGTTATTATTGAATTTGTTGGTGGTGGTGGTGCTCCTGTTGTTGTTGTTATATTATTGTTGTTGTTGTTGTTGTTGTTTTTATGTTCATAACTACTGTTTATAAATAATTTTTATTTTCATTTTTTTCCATGTCTCTATTTTTCTAATTCGCCGTCTTTATCATTTTTCATTCGTTTTCTTAATATAAATAATACAATTTTATTAGAAGTATTTTTTTTATAAATTTACATGACACTAAACTATGTTCCAAATATAATGGATATTTTATTAATCTAAATTGGTATGAGGTAAAACATAGATATTTTAAATAAAAAATACTCTGCAATAATTATCGACTCCCTTTATCCCGAATCTAAATTTTATTCATTTTCTTTACCTATTATGAATATATTAATAAAAATAATAATAATAATACAATAATAATAATAATAATAACAGCAATAACAATTATAATAAGAACAATATGAAAAATAAACTTAAATAAATTTTGAAATTCTTTGTAGTTTTTTCAAGTTTCTTCCTATTTATTCTATTTTTCCTAGTTTTCTTTCAAATTCCATGTACTTTTGAGTTTCCATGTATTTTTGAATAATGTAATTTATACTTTTATTTTTATTTCAGTTTCTATAAGATAATTTAAAAGTATTACAGTGTAAGATTTTGTATGTTGTTCGAAGAGTAGCATCCATTATGGGACGAATTGTTGTGAAGCACAATATTATGTTATGCGAACAGTTGTTTTTCCCTAAGTTATGCGAAGATAATTTTGAATTTATTTTTAATTTAAAACTAATTTGAATCTTATTTTGAAAATGAGATACTTCGTACTTCTCAAAATGTAAAATTCATTAATTTATAAAGTGGGTTATATTCTTTCCACTTTTTTTGGTTTTCAGAAAATATTTTTATCATTTCCTTTTTTAGTATACTTTATAAGGATAAATTTTAATAATACTCTTCTATTTATCACTAATCTACTTTATTATTGCTTTTAGATAAGAAAAGGAGATTTAAAAGTTTATAATATATGCATTTTTGGAAATTTGGCATTTTTATAATTATTCCTTAATAAGCGTGCCAAATCAACACGGAAAGAATATTTTCGGACGAGGGGAGTAGATGAAAAATCATTACTTTCAAGTTTTAAAAAAAGAAAAATTGGCTTTAAAAAAAGCAATTAGATTGAAATTCATATAAGAGAACAAATCAAATATCCAAATTGTTATTATTACTCATCCCAAAAAGATTGATGTTTTACACAAAGCGGAATAAAATGTTATATTTTTTCAATTCATTTTATTTAAAGATTGATATAGAAACAAAAAATAAAACTTGCATATTTAAGAACTATATCAATAGCTCTACAAAATAAAAAGTACCGAGAATATTTTATTGGAAAAATTATCACGAATAATCCAAATTTTATTCGGTCTTTCAAAATAATCTCACTTTTTACTATGATGCATATAAATCCTAACTTTACTTAAATTTACAAGTTTTAGGTCGCCGTTAAGCTCTAATAGCTCTTAAACTGGAATGGGGTATTTGTGCGACAAAATGAAAGTTGATACTGTTTTTGCTAAAATTCTATTTTAATTTTTTAAATTTTTTTTTAAAATTTTAAAAATGACTTTCAACCCCATCATTTCTTTTTCTTTGTTTTAAAAATTAGTCTTACCTTAGGAAAGAGCACTGATAAACAATAATAATACTCCATCCGTCCCTGAAAATGGTTACTGTTTTGACTTTTTATTGTCAAAAAGTGACACTCTTTGACTACAAATTGTGAAAAAAGTATATTGAATTATGATATAAATTTAATATAATTGGGTTCATCTTAAGACTTAAGATATAGTTTTGATATATCAAATTTTTATAACATTTATTTATTTCGATTATGGTTAATTTATGATTACAGAGACTGTTTGACAAAAAAAGTCAAAACAATAAGAGTTTTTAAGGGACGAAGGGAGTATTACTTATGGTAGTATTAGTTATAGTATTGTTTGTTTATCAATTAGCTTCTATTGTTAGGTTGATGTCTACTTATATTAAGATTTCTTCCTATATATATTTTCGTGTATTCTTCATTATTCTTAAATAACCTATTATTGCGACAAGGTACGATTTGGAGTTACCGCTCCTCGTGACCTAAAAAGTGTTCTTTCCTTCCATCGTCACCAGTAATTTATCCGACACGATGGGTTCATTCTATTCCACCTTACCAATCCTTCTTCTTTTCTGACCACATTCTTTTATCAGTTTTATGTTCCAATCGGCAATTTGACACTTTAAAAGCCAAAAACTCAGGGGAGGAATCAGCAAAGAAAATAAAAACGGGTCAAAAACATTAAAATCGGCACCATCTATGTTAATTGATGTTTCAAATCTAGTGTTCGACCGGCGTCATCTAAGCAATCAACCACTCCGAACCGCAACTAAATTCAAACCACCTTCTCAACTAATATACCAACACCACCTTCGCATTCTTGTCTTTCATTATCACCAAACCTCATAACTTTCGTCTCCCCTAAATCCAATTGCATGTTGCCGCAAAATCTAGTCAATCATCGTTGAAGGATACGCAACTCCCATTGGTACTAGATTAGAATCTCACTATCGGGTCTTCTTCTTTATCACCTATTCTTAATCCACTTTTTCCTCTCTCTCAAATTTCCCATTCTTAATAATCAATCTCTCTTCTTTTTCTCTTCTATAGAACCAATAACTACCCAAAGTAAATCAAAGCCAAGAGGGAAATTAGAGGAAGAGGAAGAATACCTCAACAACTCATCCCTCAAATAAAGCTATAAAGGACTCTCACAATTGAGAAAAGAAACATGACATTACCCGAATCCAAGAAAAGGACAAAGCATGTCAAGCATCTTCAATCAAATAGGCCTTCTCTCTTCTATAATTTTCTTCTACAGTTACCTGCGCGTGTCAGCCTTCTCTCTTCTTCAAAGACGCCAGTTATTACAAGCGCACATCAGTCTTCTCACATCGTTTAAAAGTCTGGTTGCATTTAGTCCACTATAGCGGAAGCTGCTTCTACTTCAGTCTGGATGCATTCAGTATTTCAGTCTCTTCTAATCCTAATTCAAGTTAAAGTTGGCATTCAACTTTCACCTTCACAGCGTACCCAATTCCTAGATAACGTCCAAGCTTGATCTTGCTTCAGTGAGAGGAAGCTTGAGGAGATATGTTAGACAATAACACTACTTTTGGTAGTATTAGTGATGGTATTATTTGTTTATTAGTCAGCTTCTATTATTAGGTTGTTTTCTACTCGTGTTAGAATTGTTTCCAATATATACTCTCTTGCATTCTCCTCCATTATTCCTAAATATCAGACTCCACCGTCTCTGAGTATATATATCCACTTTTAACTTTTTCGGTCAAAATCGACAAACTTTAGATTTCAAATTAAATAAAAATGATATTAGATATTGATAAAAAAAATAGTTTTATTAGATTGATTATTTGAAATATTTTCAAAATATTATTTTATTTAATTAAAATACAGTATAAATTTTATTTAATTATAGGTCAGAAGTTGAAAAGAGTTAGTATTATTCTATTATTCCAACAAGCCCGAGTCAAACCCCCACCGGAAAGGCCTCAATCAAACAAGATTTGTAAGGGAAAAGGGTGATCGATGCCTGTACCAGGAAATCCACCAGGGGAGAAGAATCTGGAAGAAAGTTGCTTATCGCAGCAAGTGCAATCATAGAGCCGGACCTTGAAGGTAGACCAATTATCCATCATCCAGAAAATAGCGAAATCCCCTGCTTCCAAACGGTTCCCCTTCACAAAAGCCGACCAACCATCTCCCAACACCCAATGATCGCCGCTCTTCTCGACCTTCACCGCCCATGATTTCTCCGGCGATGCGCCGGTGGCGAGTGACACCGTCGGCGAAAGCCTCTCCCCGTAAACCTCCACAAACAGCAGCGGCAAACGCTGTATGTTACACATTTAATTTATAAGCAATCAGCGCCATAATTGTGGAGATCGGTACGAAATAATTATAATGGGGGATTGAGAAACTTACGAGAACAGTGGCGAAGTCTCCCAATAAGATCTTGAAAAATGAAGGCTTCTGGATCTGCATCTTAATACTCCGTATTAAGAGAAAGCTAAAATCTGATGGGGGAGGAACCAGTTAAAGTTATGCTCTATGACTCTATGAGACAAAACACTGAGAACTGAGGAGGGCCAAATGAAATACTCCTTCAAGAGTATTTGTCCACTTCCATTTTTACAGGCCATCCAATGAACTTCTTTAATCCATTTTATCTTGTAATTTGTATATTAAAAAATTATAAAAGTTATATATTAATAATCTATATGTTAAGACAAATCAAACAAGATCACACATGACTATATTAAAGGCTTACACATTGAGAGAATTTGATGAGTCAAAGTTCTTAGATAAACAGTTCCAAAAGTCAAAAGTGGACAAAAACTGGGGGACGGAGGGAGTACTTGCGTTATTTCGCAAAAATAGTGGTTTTCACTCTTCCTAAATTTCCACATTTGCCCCTCTATCCCACCCCCTCAGTGCCCTTCCTTTCTACATCAAAAAATACAACTCAGCATAAACAATGTAAAAACTATAAAAATCATAACACGCCACATTTGCACACATTAGAATAATAAATTTTAGAGAAAATTCCATAAAAGATTCCTACTTATAGTTCGTTTTACATGTTTAGTCCCTACATATAAAATATCAATAATTTAGTCCCCAATTATTATATTGTTTTCTACGAATGGTCCTTTGTTAACATTTCCGTTAAAACCGTGGATAAAATTGTATATTCACGCTCCCTCTCTACTCAATTAATCTTCCTCTCTCTTCTCGCACTCCTTTCCCAAACTCGTCGCTGAGTTTGAAGCTTTGATCCCAAAACTGAAATCATCACTCCTGTCTCAATTTTTTGTCTTCTTGGTGGAATCCAATATCGAAACCAGCAACCTTCATGGATGAGTTATAAGATTCATTTTTTTATAATTTTCTGAGACTAACCCATAAAAATCATCCACGAAAGTTATTGGTTTCGATTTTGGGTTGCATGAAGATGAATGATTGAGAAAGGAGTGATCGTTTCAAATTTTAGTTTAGAGCTTCAAACTCAGCGACGAGTTTAGGAAATGAGTGCGAGAGGAGGGAGGAAGTTTAATTAAGGAAAGAGAGGAGTGCGAATTTACTATTTTATCCATGTATTTAACGGAAATGTTAACATAAGACCATTTGTGGAAAACAATATAATAATTGGGGACTAAATTATTGATATTTAATATGTAGAGACTAAATATGTAAAATGAAATATAACTGTGACCTTTTAAGAAATTTACTCTAAATTTTACTACTATTACCTGAATTTTAAGAAATATTTTATTTTGGTATCTAACTTTCAATCCTATCCTAAAAGTTTCTAAACTTTGAAAACCTCTTCATCAATGGTACTTCGAGTCAATTTCCAGGCGATCAGTACCTCCCTATGGACCAAATCATAATTTATACGGAGTATATTTTTGTTTTCTCAATTTTGACCCCATTTTTTTCTTTTTCCTCTCCTAAAATGCCCTCTCTTCTTTCTTTTTTTGTTTTTTTCAGCCCCTCCCCCGCACATGTTTAGCTTTTCTTTTTTTTTTTCTTTACTCCGGTCTTCTCTTTCCTTTTCTCTTTTTTTGGTTGTTTTTGTTTTCCTTTTTTGTTCTACTTTTTTTCTCTCTTTAAGTTAATTTTTTTGAGCAATGCTATGTTCATAAATAAAATCAAGGCCCGTCCTGAGAATTCATATGCCTGGGCCGAAACAGAAAGAAGGCACTAAAAATATTATCCCTAATGATCTAACAAACTATCATATTTGTAGACGCTCTTGCTCTTCCATCTCTTTTACTTCTACTTCTTCGTAGGTTTCATAAACTTATATAGAACTCCGACTTGAAACTTTCTCATTTCTTCATCTCGTTTTCTTTTTTTGACTACCGGATAATTGTTAAGGAGTCATAGCTATTGAATTATTTCTGAAATTAAATCCAAATTCATAAACTCTACTCTTTAGTAAAATCAAGTATGAAAAACTGAAAAAGCAAACAAATAAATATATATATATATCATAAATTCATATCAATTCATCAATTTTTCTTTTTAATTATTTTTTTCATTTTCAGTTTTAATTTTTTTTTTCGGTTTTAAGTTTTTTATATAAATATATTAAATAAATAATTCAAATCAATTCATCCAAATCAAATAAATAACACATAGAACCATTAATTCATTCTATTTCAAAGAATGAAATTCGAAAAGATTTCAAATTAAAAACTAATAATTAATCCTAGATTTTAAATCTAAAAAAATGAAACAATGAAAGAAAATTAAGATTTAAGAAATAAAAATTACAAAATTGAAAAACTATGAATAATTGAATATGGAATACCTGGAGGGTGGAGGTCGGCGTCCGGCGGCGTGCCAGCGGCGTTTCTTCGGCGTCCTTTCTTCCGCTATCGCCTCTTGCACTCTTCCGCATCCTTTCTCTGTGGATTCTTTTTTTTTTTTGTCTACATACGGGTGAGGGGTGGATTGGGGCATTGGGCTAAGGGTTAGATTAAGATAAGTGATGAGGGGATGGGCTGGGCCTGGGTCTTAATGAGATGGAGTTCTTAATACTTAAAAAAAAATTTGTGCCCCCTTAAATTATTGGGTCCGGCCCGAATGGACACTTTGTCCCCCTATTGGGCCGGCCCTGAATAAAATTATTACAAACTTATTAATTATGGTCTAAATTTTCATTTTAAAATTATTTTAGACTATTTATTTTTTATATTGAAATTTCAAAAAAAGTAAATTTGTGAGGTTTGTGAGCACTAGATTCATACCTGTGCGTTGCACGGACAAAAGTTTGTTACTCTCTCCGTCTTTAAATTAACTTTTCATTTAAACTTTCACGCTCTCCATGCAACAATTTGATCATTAACTTTTTATCAATGTATTTTCGCAATATGTGGTCAAAGTTTAGCAAGCATGGTTGCAAAAGTCAAACTGAGAAGTTAATTTTAAGACAGAGGAAGTATTTATTAAGAATATAACATTATTTTTTGATTTCATACTTCAGGATGTATTAATATATGCAAATATTATAAATTGAAATTTAGGAGAGAAAAAATTCTTTTACATTTGAAAAGTGTAAGCAAAATCATTACAAAATACTACCTCCGTCCCACTGTCTTTGTCCACTTTTGACTTTTGGAACTGTTCATCTAAGCACTTTGACTCATCAAATTCTCTCAATGTGTAAGCTTAAATATAGTCATGTGTGATCTTGTTTGATTTGTCTTATCATATAGATTATTAATATATAATTTCTATAATTTTTAAATATACAAATTACAAGATAAAATGAATTAAAGAAGTGCATTGGATGACGTGCCAAAAGGTAAGTGGACAAAGACAGTGGGACATAGGGAGTACATTGCTTGAACATCTACAGATTATGAAATACTTCTTTATAAACAATATTTATTTTGGAACATTTAAGTTCTCCACTTTCATCACATATTAGTATTTTAAATCACTATTATCTGTAACTCTCGAAACCGCAACATATAATTGTCCATGACTAAAAATAGGTTTTTTAAGAAAAAGTCCTATGAGAGACAATGATTGGCCCTGAATTATGTTAAAGGTCATTGCATAGGAAACCATTATAAGAAACTGTCTTCTTTGAAATTTGAAAGGAATACGTGGATCTAAAGGAGTTAATGACAATCTTGGGATCAATACTTCTTGGCCCGTATGTGTACCTGCTAGAATTCTTCCTTGTATTGAATGAGTCGCCAAACGCGTGACTATCAATCTCGTACCATTGCACAATCCCATTGTATAAAAACAATACTTCTAATAAAATTGTATTATTTATATTAAAAAATGAATGACAAATACTCCCTCTGTCCACCATAGATCTTCCCAGTCACTATTCACAAGGTCAAACTTTACTCACTTTGTTTACTCAATTTTACTAGTAATTTCATAAAATAATATAGTCTTGTCACCTCTAGTTTTGTAGAACTTTTCACGTAGTTTCTTACTATATAAATTTTATTTTAAAATTTTACTCCTATAATCAATTAAATTGAATTGAAAATAAAGTCGGTCAAGCCTCGTAACGCGTAATGGGAAGATCATACATGGACGGAGGGAGTAGTAAAGATGGAAAATTACAAAAATAGAAACATGGGAAAAAATAAAAACAAAAATTATTTATAAACAATAGCTTTGAACATAAAAACAACAACAACAACAACAACAATAATAACAACAACAATAGCACCACCACCACCACCAAACTCAATAATAACAAAAACAAAAAATTAATAATAATAATAACAATAATAATAATGCTAATAATTTTACAATAATAATAGTAATATATGAAAAGCACATCATTTTCAGAGTCGTTGTATAGAGAGTAGAAAAAGATTCCAGAAATTGGGAATAGTTGAAATAACTATAAGAAACAAAAAATATTGGAAGACATCAGAAAAATTGGAAAAAACTAGAAAAAATTGAAAGTTAAAAGTTTAAGTTTTAAAAACTCTTTCTTAAAATTTGATACTCCATATATCGTAAAAGTTGTAATGATCACTTAGACCTGAATGAATAAAGTAGGTTATTCTTAATGTAATTTTTTAATAATGGATCAAAGTTTGTGGGGGACTATGTGTTTAATTGTTCAATTCATATCAATATAACAGATAAACAGAAGATGAAGGTCGAAACTCGAAAGAAAGACCTTATTTATCATTTTTATCAAGTGAAATTTGTCCTAAATAGGACTAAAACATAATGACTTTCCTAAGGTAGGACTTAAACTTTTTTATTCCCTAAATAGGACTTAATGATGACCTAATGGGAGGAATAATGTCCAGTAATGATATACATTTACTTGAATAATGACTGATGGGTATATCCCTATACCCGACCCGGACAACCGAAAAGGACAGGTCAAAAAATGACCGGTCACTTTTATCAATCACCAAATGAGGTTAACTCTTCGATTGGGACGGGTCAAAAGTTGACCGGTCACTTCCACTAAAAAAGTGACCGGTCACATTTTGGGCGATAGCCAAAATGTCGCCTAATGTTGCAAAGGACATTCTAGAAGACCAGAGACGGGTTGAACACAAAGAATGACCGGGTAACTTTTGAGAGAAGGTGACCGGTCATATCACTTTACTTGGCTAACATTGGTTCAGTCTCTTAGGCATGGTGAACCACGTCAGAGGTCAAGGGGACACCCCGCCGCTCATCCATCACGAGGCACACAGTGAAAGGAATGTTTGTCATTTTGCAGGGTTGATTGGATTGAGAATATCCATTTTAGTCTTTGATTGAACAGTACATGTCTTGGCCTATAGTTGCTAAATTCTATGATTGTACAGTGTTCCCATTATCTACAGTGACCTTCCCACGAGCTTCCTATTTTGTCCATGGATGAACAGGGGAAGGTCACAAATCCTCCTCTATAAATATGATGATATTGGATA